TCTTTTGATTTCTTTCAGATCTCAAGGCTCTGGTCTCATTTTAAAAAATGGTACAATGAGCATTTAAAACAGATCTGTAAAATTACAGTTATATACACTGTGGGTATAATTACTTACACTGCTTCTTTTCAATATAAATAATGAGCAAATTAGTGCTCTTCTCTGAAGTAATCTTAAATTTACAATATGAGCTCTATGATTATTTCCTGCCATATGTGGTGGCACACACCTGCAACCCCCTCTTCGAAAGTCGAGGCAGAAAGAACAAGTGTTCAAGCTAGCCTGGAGTACAAGTTAGTTTGAGGCTAGCCTCCACTACACAGTGACACCTTGTCTCTAAACAAAAAAACTTTTTTTAGTTTGCAAATTCTTTAATTAAATGAGGGAGAAAGAATAATTTTTAAAAAGCATTAAAATTAGATAAACGACAGTACTCAACTTCAGAAAAACTAAATCCAAGGTGATACTCAGGTTTAATACTATCCCCACTCCAAGAAAGGAAAATTTTACTCATATAATAGGTTAAAATTTTATTATATATGAAATCAAATTGCTATAGAAGAGTATGTTTTTAAAGCTAGTGCTATGACATCACCCACATTAAAAGTTTTAAACAAAAATTTAAACCTCAGTTAACAAAAACAAAAACTGGCCAATCCACCAACCCTTTTTTCTTTTTTATAGTACTGGGGAGTTGAACTCAGGGTTATCACACTGAGCTACATCCCTAGTCCCCTGAAAACTTAAGTTTGAGACAGTCTCAACATTTGAGTGGCCTGGGACTGAATCAAATTTGCAATCCTGTGTCTCAGCCTCTCACAGTGTTGGGATGGCAGGTATGTGCTACTGTTATTCCCTTCATTATTAACAAAATCCAATTTCAGAGAAACTGGGGGTAAACCTCCCCATATTCTTTTGTTGTTGTTTTGTGACACAGGGTTTTGCCATGCAGTCCAGGTTGGTCTTGAATGCACTATGGAGCTGAGACTGACCTCCACAGCAGTAAGCCTCTAGGATTATAGGCACGCCATATCATACCTGGTTCCATATCACTTTTATTCTTTAACAACATACAACTTTCAGCTCTAATTAGTATTGATAAATTTGTTTTCCTTTTCTCGTACTGTCCAGTCATATTAAGGAGGGGAAGGAATCTTAGGAATTCTGTGGGGTGGGACAGTACTGGAGTTTGAAACTTTTAAGTCTTTGCCCTCGGCCCTTTTATAATTTTTTATTTTGAGATAGGGTCTCATTGAATCAATAAATTGTCCAGGATGGAAAACTTGTGACCCCTCCCTGCCTCAGCCTTCCTGAGTGCTGGGGATTACAAGCATCTGTTTGTTACCATTCAAGACTTTTAAAAAATATTCCAGTTACTGAAGCCTCAACATGCCTTGCAAAGCAGACAAGCAGCAGCAAAACAAAGCACATTTGTGAAGCTTAATCTTCATTCTCCTTAATATTTGCCTATCTTTCCATTTGGGTTTTGGAGATAGGGTCTCATTCTGTAATTCAGGCCAGCCTCAAACTCACAGAAATTCCCCTGCTGGAGATTTCAAAAGTGCTGGCTTTACCGGCATGTGTCACCCCATGCCTGGCCTCCTGAGCCTTTTTATATAAAAGGCACTAAAATATTAAGATCAAAATCCTAATTTTAGCTGAAGCTGTGTGAAGCAGAACAATTTCTTTTTTGAGGAGGGACACATGGATCTCACTGTGTAGTTTAGGCTGGCCTTGAACTCATGATGATCTTCCTGCTTCAACCTCCCCCTCCCAAGTAACTGGGATTAAAGGTGTGAACATTAGGCAACAATTACTTTTTGAAGATGACACAGGAATCACACAAGTGCTCAATTTATCCTCAACTCCAAAGAAAATTTCCACTTAAGGCATTTGTTAATTTGATGTGTCCCAAACTGCTTAGAACACCTAGTCAAAATAAAAAGAAATCCCTGCTATAGCTAATCCTTGAAACTCAGAGTTTCACCCCATGTTACCTAAACAGAAGCCAGCTAATTATCTTTTTTTCCCCCTTAAATTCTTTTAGTCTATTCCTTCAAGATGAGAGACATAAAAATAGAAAATAAGTTTTGATAACTGCTTTTTAGCAAATTCCATTAATGGCTCTGAGACACAAAAGCACTGTGCTCTTCACAAAACTTAATAAAAACACATATGGCATAGTGTGGACTAGAATTTGCCCAGATTCCTGGTTGTGCAGTTTTCTGATTCTCAGTACTTAATTTTTAAATTGCAAGACTATCATGAGCTGTAAGTCAGAAAATGTATCCAAGATACTGGGGGGTGATAAGATTCTAAAATGCTGTGAAAGGAGGCATTATTGGTATTAATGCTGATTTTTTCAGTTTGTTTTGTAGCCTTCGGAATGTTTCCACCTAATTCTAAATACTGTTTCTTATTGAGATGATACTCATATGCATCCCATTATATGCTGTAGATTAACGATATCATAGTTCAAGTGTCAACATATTAGAAGCAGTCTCTCACTGAAGAATTCCTAGAGGTTGTTAATTTCCACAAACACTTCTGGTAGTCATACCATTTCAATACAGACCTGACAATGTTCTAATTTTAGTAAAAAATATGCTTGAAGAAGCATAACTACTGAAACAACACACAGTACTGGAAAATCCTTTTGTGAGCCTAGATTGTTACCTTTAGACATCTTTAGAAACAAACACAAGAATATAGAGGTTGTATTACATAAAAATACATCTTGTGGGTTACATAAAATGCTGGCTTACAGTCAGCAGATAAAGGTCACTATTTTAAAAAGCAAATGCACTACTGAATATTAAGTCACTTTAAGAAAAAAGTTTACCTCTAGAAAAGCTTCTAGCGTTCTTCTAATTCTTTAACCAATTACAAAGACAGTTATGGCAACCTAAAAAACAGGTGAGCCTGGAAGTATTTATTATCCAATCTGCTGATTTGATTTACACTGAAATATACTTAGGTAGCAACCAGGAAAACATATTTTTATGGCTACAAGTGAAAAAAAGGGTAAAACTCCCCTTTTGTATGAAATAAATTGTTAATGCTTAAAAAAATTTTAAAAATAGGTGGAATTCTGTATGATACTTCCTAAGGTAGGTTAAGGTGACAATTACCTAGGACTTCCTTCACTAGATTCCAAATTAAAATGAACGAAAGGAATCCAAGTCCCATTAGCAGTCTACATTCCACAAACCAAACCAAATATTTAAAAAGAAAAAAGAGCTTTTATATTAAGCCGACATAAAAATGGATAGAAAAAATTTCTTTCTATAACTACCTAAACACAAACAACTACCATCAAATATTTTTAGTGCATCATCTTAAAAATTTCACAGGGACGGCGCTGGGGATTTAGCTCAGCGGCATAAGCGCCTACCTTGCAAGCAGGCAGTCGTGAGTTCGATCCCCGGTACCGATAAAAAGAAAAAAGACAAAAAAAAAAAAAAAAATTCACAGGGACAATCAGTACCCTATTGTAAAATATACAATAAGGAGGTTCACCCAAATCCAAGCTCCAAATTTATTTTAAAAAACCTAATCTTAAATCTAGCTTTTAAAAGGTTGTATTTCATTCCATTTCATTTATTTAGGTACCTGGAATCGAACTCAGGGTCTAGTGTTTACTAAGTAGGCACTGGGTCGCTGAGCTGTATCCTTGGACCTCTAACCCTTTACTTTAAATCTCTTTCCTCTGAAGAATGAATTTTAGGGGAAAAAAAATCTCTTTCCTCGACCTTCTGATTTGACCAAAGGATGTATTATGAATTTTCAAAAAAGACAAAGTGATTCCCTCCAGCATACCCCTCCAGAGTTTGTGTGTGTGTTTCCTCTAGTGACTACCCAAACAGCCCAAATATGCTGCCTGGAGCTTTTGTTTTCTTTTCAGGGTTTCACACTAATTCACTCGCACCAATTTCCACTGCTAGGGTTATTTCAAAAATAAAATCCACACTCAAAACGTTCTAGGGCATGCACGCGAATATGACACATTCTTTTCGATGTTTGTATTTCCGACCCTAAATAACGAAAACGTTCTCCTGAGCCCTCTTTCTTGGGGCTGCAGTGGGAAGAGAAACGGGGAGAGCGCCTGTAATTTTTAGGTAAACTTTAAAGAACAGAGTTTAGACTAGGTATTTTTAAGACTGAACCATGAAATTTGTTCAGTTATGTAACAGTAAAGACAGACAGAGAAGGTCTTTTTTTTTTTTTTAAACTGCAGAAACCTGTATAAAGGTGTGGTCTGCTTTTAGATGAAAGGTCAAAGAAAAGAAAGCATTAGAAGTTAAGATACGTAAAAAGGAAAAAAAAAAAAAAAAAACCAACATCAAGGAATTAGAAAAATCAGGAGTTAGAGCGTCTCCACATTCATTTTGAAGCGAAAGGAAAAAGGACCCAAGGAGAGAAGCTCCCGGCGCGGTCTCCGCGATCACTAACCACACTTCACTGCGCGTCCCACCGCCAACCTCAAGGCTTTCGCCCTGTGCGGACGCAACGCCGCCAGTTCCAACAGAGCCGCGGCCGCTCACTGCAACAGAGAGCCAAGGAGACACCGGCCCCGCCCGGGCCGCAGCCCCGCGCGCCGGGGACCCCGAAGCCCTGCGCGAAGCTCGGGGGTCGCAGCACCGCCACCGCAGTCAGCACCTACCACCATCCGGCCGCCGCCTCCCGCCCCCCCGCCACGGGACCCACACCTCGGAACCGAGACGGGGAAGCCTCGGGGCGGGCAGCGGAGGGACGGAGGCGACCCCAGAGTCCAGGTACCGGTCAGTCTCCAAAAAACGGGGCGGAGAGTTATTCGTATCGCCTGGGGAAGCAGTGGAACCTAGAAGCCATCTTGGGATGCGAGGAAGAAGTCGCGATGGCTCCGGAGATTGTTCCCGCGGGCCCTGCAGGACTCCCCGCAACCCCCGACCGTGCTCGTCCGGGTAGAACCCCGGGCATCGGGCCGCCGCCGAAGACGGCTCCCGCGGCTTTGTACTCACTCTGCCCTCGAAGTTGTTTTCCTCTACATCACTCATGTCGGCCAGACGTTCCCCAGAACTAAATAAGAGACAAGTTTCGGCTCGAGGGCCGACGGCCTAATCACCCGGCTGACTGGACCGTGGGGAGCAGGAAAGAGTCGGCAACAACGGCCGTCCCACTCCACTCCCACTCGGTCGCAGGCTCCGTCAAAATGGCGCCGGCGCCGCCTGAAAGCCTCAGGCTTCTCCAGGGCGCGACGTCAGGGGGCGTGCGTGGAGGTGACGTCATGAGCCCCGCCTCCCGCGAGGCTTTGTGTGCGCGCGGCCACGCGCCACGGGTGGACGCAGACCGAGGTTGGGTGTCTCAGGGCCACTCCTTGGGCGCCGGGCTGCGGAGCTCTGACTTCCCTCGAAGGTGTCGAGCCTTTTCAAGAGTTTCGGTCTTCGGAGGAGATTTTAATAACCTTTCCCCCTTTAAATAGTGTTCACGCGAATACTCGAGTAAGAGAACAGAAAAAAATTGGAAGCGTAATTAAGCAGACCATTTTCTTTAACATTTGCGTCTTGTGATTGCTTCGAAGTAATGTGCCCAGATGGAGCTGTAATGAAAAGACACATCACTCTATTCTGTCTCTTGTCTCTCTCTGCCCCTCTCCCTGAGAATCCCATGTAGCCCACCAGGCGTGGAACTCCTTGGAGCTCAGGTTGGCCTTGGATTTGGGATCCTTCTGCTTCAGCCTCTCCAGTGATGGGATTATAGGTGTAAGCCACAGGCCCGTCTCCACTAGTCTTTTTAAAACGGGTATTTCCTTAAGACCTTTTTGACAAGACCTCTGAAATATACCTACTTGAATTCCACAGTTATAATTTCTGAGATGGCTTTGAATTTAGATAATGCAAACAGATATAAACATATATATATATGTTTGTATATGTATATATATATATATATATATATATATTTGTCATTTTGAGACAGGGTCTGATAATACAGTTCAGGCTGGCCTTGGGCTCACTTTGTAGCCTAGCTGGTCTCAAACTTGCAACCATCCTCTTGCATCAATCTCTTGAGTGCTGGGATTACAGGAGTGTGCCACCACACCCTGCTTATGTTTTTTTTTTTTTTTTTTTTCGGTACCGGGGATTGAACTCAAGACCTCGAACTCACCAGGCAGGTACTTATATCACCAAGCTAGATCCTCAGCCCCACACACCCTACAATATATATATATATATATATATACATATATATATATATGTATATATATATATATGTATATATATATTGTACTTCGGAATGAACCCAAGGCTTTCCCAATGAAGTACACCCCAGACTCCTTTGAAAACATTTGAGACATGAATTTTGCTAAACCTTTAAATTGCCTAGACTGGTTTTGAACCGTGGATCCTCCTGCCTAAGCCTCCCACAATGATGGTATCACAAGTATGCCCCTTTGCACTGGGTTTTGTGTAATGTGAATTTTTTATTTTTAATTTTAATTTTTATTTTGGTACTGGAGATCAAACTCACAATCTTGCACTTACCAGGTAGATGCTTACACCACTGAGCTAAATCTCTGGCACTTTGTAATACAATTTTTACCCCCAAGACAGTGTTTTGCTATGTAGTCCAGGCCGGTCTTGAACTCAGTAGGTAGCCCAAAAAGGCCTTGAATTCTTGGTGATCCTCCTGTCTCAGCCTCCCAAATGCTGAGATTACAATCATGTGCCATTATACCAGGCTGTGCAATGCAGTTTTAAAAACTAGTTCCCATAGTGCTTTGTGATGATAAAGCTTCAACTATAGCTCAATGTTACAAAAGTTAATGGAACATCATTGGGAAGATTGCTACCCCTGGGTAAGAGTTTAACATTTGGCTATATCTGTCATTGATAAACATGTATGATGTCTCCTTTTTAAAAAGAAAAGGGCATCAGGTTGATTCCATGCACAACTCTTGCTGCATCCAGCACAGCTCTTGAAACTCCAGGGGGAAGACAGATGAGGATGAAGAAATGAAGACAAGAGTCAAGATGTAGAAAGCTGAGATCACGTGGAGCCCCTCTCCAGATGGGAGAAAGGAACCGCCCAACAACTGCAGTGTGTTTACTTATAAAATCAACAGGAGAGGCTGTTTACAGAGAATTTGAAGGGAAGGGTAAGATCTGGAACAGGAAGAACACCTAATCTTCAACAAAACATCATGCCTTGGTGGTTACATGGGGAACAAGAGAGGAGCTGTCTTTCTCTCTCTCTCTCTCTCTCTCTCTCTCTCTATATATATATATATATATATATATATATATATATATTAATCTTTTTATTGGTACCGGGGATCAAACTCATGACCACCTGCTTGCAAGGCAGGTGCTTATGCCACTGAGTTAAATCCCCAGCCCCTGGAGCTGTCTATATTATCTCAGGGGGAGGCCAAGTTACTGTGTGCGTCAGCTCCCTGAGCTGCGTACACTTCTCATAGGGCCCTGCCAAGCTCCTGAGAAGCAGTGCCTTATCCTGGATGCTTGAGGTACAGTCAGCACTGGTCAAAAGCGATCAATTTGAGTACATTAGAAGTGAGACCACTTTGTCCAGTCAGGGGACAAGCCTGTAATTCCACTTTTCTGGGAGGCTGAGGCAGGAGGATTAAATTGTGGCCCAGCCTGGACAATTTAATGATTTAGTAAGATTCTATCTCAAAATTTAAAAAGGGAGGTATAGTTGGAGATAAAACAGCATGAAAGCTCTAGGTCTAATCTCCAGTGCTGAAAGTAATAAAACAATAAACCTCGAGACAACCAGACGTGAAAAATTGCATATTGTCATGCAATAGAAAACCCCAAGTGCCTCCTAGGAAGTATTCTTGGGCCCTGAAATTGAACTCAAAGCTAATCAAGATATCTAACCCATAGTTGAAGGGAAGTGGAAATAAAAACACTGAGAGGGAATGATCAGCTTCTATAGGACAGAGAACCTAATTTCTACATCAGTTTCAATCAAACATGGGGACAGAGTAGACTGTTATGAACCAAAAGACTTAAAATACAGGATCAAAGCCCTGATGACTTTGATTCAAACAAACTTTTGAGACAATAGGCAAAATTTGAGTAAGAACTGAGAATTGGATGATATTTAGGAATTATTGATCTTATTAGGCATGATTGTGATACAGTGGATATATTTAGAGAAAAAAACTTCACCATACAATCACATATCTGAGATTTGCTTTAATTTATTCCAGGATGGGTGGAGACCAGAAAATAAACACTGTGTGGGGAGAATACTGATTATTAAAACTTGATAATGGGTACAGATGATTTATTATTCTATTTTTGTGTATTTGAAATTTTCCATACCCAGACATGGTGGTAATGCTGACTTGTAATGTCAGCACTCGGGAAGCTGAGGCAGGAGGGTCACTGGGTTGGAGGCCAGCCATGACTACACAGTGAGTTCAAGGCCAGTCTTAACTACGTAGTGAGCCCCTGGCTTAAATATATATGTACTTACAAAAAGTAAAAATATTTGCCTTCACCCAATTTATACAAGTTTGAAGGTCTTATATAACCACACTATAATGATTAAACCAGGAAACTGACATACAGTAGTTCCCTCTTTCTCTTTCGGGCATTATCGCTGTGTCTATCTTTTCCTGTCTTAGTAAGGGGCATCTAACCCCAGGCCTTTGCTCTGAGCTGCAGTCACAGCTTATTTTAAAAAAATCACAAACTGGGCATGGTGACATATTCCTGTAATCCCAGCATTTGGGAGGCTGAGACAGGATGATTCTTGCAAATTTGAGTCAGCCTGGGCTATAAATTGAGCTCAAGTCCAGCCTGTACTGCATAGCAAGACCCTGTCTCAAAAAAGACAAAATAAATAAATTTTTTAAATGGAAGAGAGAAATAAAAAAAAACACCCTTTATTTACAAAGGCCAGTGTAGGAATTGGGGGAGGTCAGGAGGAAAAGGGCAGACATCTGTCTCTAGACCGCTCAGGATACTTTCCCACCTGGGGCAGAACCCCCGTCGTTAGCCAGGGGGTCGTTGCAGTAGCAGGACCATGCAGTGAGTGAGGGGTAATGCTAGCATAGAGTGGTGTCCACCTCCAGATTAGAGGCATCATTTCTGCCCGCCCCTCTCCTTTCTCAGAAAGAACTGCTGGGAGCACAGTTCAGTGGTACAGCAGTGCTTGCCTACATGTATGAAAACTTGACCCAGTCTCCAGCATCACACATAAAAAAATCCAAACAAATAGAAACACTTTCTATTTGGCCTATAAGAAAACAGTAAAGAACTAAGAATTCTGAAGGGAGAAACCCTTCTGCTCTTCCTCAAAGCAATGACAGCAAGTAAGGGTGCCAGTCGCAGCGGGACAGCTTCACAAGGGGTCCGTTACACTGCTTTTCAGTGACACAATGTCCAGAGGCTCAGGGAACCCAGCTCTCCTGGATGTACCTATTCCTGCACTAGACTAGCCCTTCAGCCAGCTACCTCTGGCGAGAGAGACCAGAAATGTGTGTGTTTTTGGGAAGTGAAGCCAACATGACTCTCTGAGGGTCAAACTGCTTAGTTTCACGGAGCACATTTCTTCTATTCAGATTCCATCAGGCTCTTTATTACACCCAGGGCAGGCCTGGGCTTGAGTTCTCCTGACCAAAAAGAGCTACAAAAGCTTCCACATCCCAGTTGTCAAGGCCAACTGCCCGGCTTTGCCTCAGGGTAATTTGCCTATTCCCTTGTCTAGGAAATCTTAGTCCCTCTTCTTGCACTCCAGAGGGCTGGCCCCAGGCCTGTTCAGGCCCGTCCAGAGCTCTAAGTTTCAGCTTCCTCTTCGGACAAGAGCAGGCATCTTTCACTTTTTCCTGGAAGTCCCAACACAGACTGAGAGAAAGTGCTGGATGAAGTAAGTGGAATAGAAATTGAAGAGGAAAGCCCATAGCCTCTGCCCCTCTCCTTCACAGTGGAAAATCTTTCTAGCAGGGATGCGCTGGGGCGGAGCAGAGCTGGGGAAAAGGAAGAGAGTTATCAAAATAATTGTAGGACAAGCTGAGCCCCAGTGGTACCCGTGCAAGACTGTTCCAGTCAGTGGGACAGTAGAGTCCTCCTCTGACTCTGCAGTCTGCCCAAGAAGTCAGGATTGTGGGTGAGGAGGTGGGCCAGCCAGCAGGCTCTGCTCAGGAAGCAACAGGAGAGAAGGTTCTTTCAA